CATTTGTTCTAAAGCTTCTACAAAAGGAATATTTAACGTTAACTTATTAAAATTTTCTAAAAATTTGGAAAATTATTTATTCTGTTGGTGTTGTTTGAGGAAACAGTGGTGGAGGTTTCTTCACAGTAATTTTCATTGGTGTAAGTGGATATTCTAATTCTAGGTATTCATGATCATTTTCTTTTTCGGTATCCACTTTCTCTTTTTCAGTTTCTGTTTCTTTTTGCACTCTTGTTTTCAATTATTTTCCACTTCGTAATTGTATTGCTTTTATTTGTCTTTTTCTTGATCACAGTACTAGTAAAAGTTCCTAATGTTCGGTTACTAAGCGCAGTAGCGACATGCCTTAATTGGTTTTCAATATTCTTAATAGCAGTTCCTTAATTTTGTAATGGATTTCCTTGAATTTGTAATTGATTTCCTTTATTTTGTAATTGTTGACCCATGTTTAATATCAGCTCTTCCATAAACAACTTCTTTTCCTTAATTTGAGTGTTATTGTTAAATCATAGAGGATACAAAGGTCTATAGTTAACATTTCCTTGGTTGGATGAATTTCCTAATGGGTTCACTGGGTTGTTCGCCCATTGTTGATTTGAAGCAAAATTGTTATTCCAATTAAAATTTGGATGATTTTTCCAACCTGGGTTATAATTGTTCAAATAAGGGTTGTTGGGTCTATTAATAGCATTTAAAGTCTCATATGAAGGTTGAACATCCACAAATTGCCCAGATGAATTCTCTTCCATCATAGGAGGTGTTGGAGAATAATTCATCCCATAATGATCTAATTTCTTTGATATTGCAGCAATCTGTGAAGCTAACATAGATATTGCATCAGAATCATGGATACTAGCTACTCTTTGAGGATTTAACCTTTCAGAGGGCCATTGAAAATTGTTGGTAGCCATCTCTTCTATTAACGAATCAGCCTCATCAAAAGGTTTTAAAATTAAAGAACCACCAGCCACAACATCGGTAATCGATCTAAGTGATCCCACTAATCCATTATAAAAAGTTTGAATTATCAACCAATCTAGTAACAAATGATGAGGACATTTCCTAAGAAGATCTTTAAATCTCTCCCAAGCTTCATATATTGACTCTCCATCAAT